GGCTGCTGTCTCGTGCCCCACGCCCCACACTGGGCTCCCAGGCTGTTTGAGGAGGGCACCATCTGGCCTGCACACAGCTGTGCACCGGCACATAGTAGGCACTCAATAAATGTCTGCTGAGTGTTACAAGCCTAGGGACATAGCAGTGGGTTAGAGGAGACCCTGCTCTCACAGGGATCATGAGTGGGGGTCCCCACCTGAGCCAGGTCCCAATCCCCTAGGCCACCCCAGGACCCTGTACCCAGGTCCCCACGGCTGTCCCAACAGACGCGCAGAAGCCAGCAGCCAGAGTGGGAGGACGGGCTGCCCGAGTACGGGGCAGGAGAGGTGTGGGCTGGTGGATTCCTGGCAGGTCTGGGCCCGCGGAGGGACAGCTGTCTCCATGCCTGCCAGGGGCAGGGAGGGGAGGAGTTGGCCCAGAAGCAGAGCCCAGAAGAAACCCAAAGCACTGAGAGCAGTGGCCCCCGTGAGCCCTCTGTGCCTGGCCGGCCCCACCTGCTAGCTGCGCCTCTCCTGGCCCTCCCTCAGGCCCCTCGAGTGAAGGTGCCTCCCCCAGGCGGCTGAATCCCCGCCCTGATCCAGCGAAGCCCAGCGCTGCGGCGGGGCGGGGGAGGGGTGCACAGCTTGGGCCAGGGAAGGGCCCAGACCGGCACACTGGAAACCTGGACCACCTCAGGACAATCGTCCAAACAGCTCACTGACCCCAAACAAGCATGTAATCCTCCCAAAAACCTGTGGCTGCCTCTGCTCACCACGAGCATCTCCTGCAGGTGAGGAAACTGAGGCACAGGGAGTTTAAGTGGAGTGCCCAAGAGCAAAAAGCTAGAAAGCAGGATGGGGGGGCGGGGGACAGCACAAAGGGAGGGTCTTCCAAGCACAGTGGGCCCAGGGACCAGATCACAGCCTGCGCCTGTGGTCTCTGGGCATGCTCGGAGCGTCCCCCCCGCCTGGCATTCGAAGTCCAAGGCCACCTGCATCCCCAATAACACCCTGCTGCTCCGAGTGCCCTTGGTCCTCTTCCCTCTGCCAAGGGTGGCCTGACCCTTGGATCCCACCCCGAACACCCTCAAAGGTCGGCTGGAGCACAGGACATGCCGTGTGCCCTGGAACAGTAACAAGCCCGGGCAGTGCCAGGTGAGCACGGGCCTGCACCCGCCCCAGGCTGCAGGTATTAGGTATTGTAGTACCCAGTTTCCCAAGGCCCAGAGAGACCAGCAACTGGGCCGCAAAGCGCAGGGGAGCAGAGTTCAAAAGGACAGTCCCTGCCTCAGCCACCAGTGAGCTGAGGGCAGGGGTCTCCTCCTGTCCTGCTCTTCTTCCCAGGCCCCCCGGCTTCTCCCATAAGTCCTTTTGCCCCTCCACGGATCTCCAAGCTAAGCCGTACCCCACTCCACAAGCTCCAGGCCGGGGGACTGCAGCCGGCAGCACAGTCCCCCCTCCTCCCGCTATCATAGGCTGTTTTCACGCAGCAGAGCAAGTTGCTCCTTGTGGCCTCAGTTTCTCAACATGCAAAGTGGGAATGAGTTCCTGACCTCACCCACTGGGTTGTGGGAGGGATGAGAAGTGAAAAGAAACATGAAAATGGAAGGGCCACAGGGTCACTGGGTTTGCATGTCACCAGCCACACCTTCCTGGGTGCCACAAGGAGGGCTGTGAGCCCTCGGCACTCCCACTCCCAGGACGGCACAGAGCCTGGCCCAGGCCCACTGCCACAAACAGCCCCTTCCCCAGGGACGCTCTGCCTCCTCCCTCTCATTTAACTGGGCACGGCACAGATGTTGCTGGGCTCAGCCGGGCACCAGCTCACCGCCCCTGCCTGGCAGCCTCCACCTCCAGGGACTCTTCCAGGGAAGCCAGGAAGGGCTGCCCTGCTTAAAGGGGGGCAGCCACGCCTCCAGGGGCTTGCAGCATTGCCCCCAGGGGTTGAGCCATGCCCCTACTCTCCAACAAAGCCCCCGACTAAATGTGCCAACAAACCAGCCTCTGCCCCTTCGGGGGACCCCAGTTTACAGACCAGAAACATTTCCTCGCTGGGCTCTGATTGGGAGAACAGGACTAGAGGGAGAACCACCAGGACGCGGTGGAATGTCCGCTCTGTGCTGGGCCCCAAGCATGCGCTGGGACACAAGGACGCATCACGCAAGGCCCTGCCCTCCAACAGCCAGCACCAAGGATGCCGACGGGAAGCGCACATTATGGGGCTGTGCCCAGCTCTACGGCCAGTGCCATCTCATCCTCCACCCCCACCCCATTACGCCCCCATCGTCCAGAAGAGGAAACCCACCCCAGAGCCCCCAGGTTTCCGTGTGGTGGAGAAGGAAGCAGGAGTCTGCAGAGCTCTGACTGGGGACTGCCCAAGGTCAGTCGGGGTCTCCCCCGGCTCAGGCCTCAGGCTCATGCCCCAACCCCGTGAATCACCCCCTGGTCATCGTCACAGGCTGCTCCAGGCTCAGCCCAGCTGCCCAACAACTTTGGTAACAGCAGATGCTTGACAAAGTTCGTGGTGATTACTATGTGCCAGATACTGAGCTAAACACCTCACACAGATGTCTCCTTTCTGCCTCAAAACAATCCTAGAGTTGAATTATTAACTATTCCCACTTGCCGGATAAAGAATCTGTGGCTCAGAGAAGTTAAGTCAATCACCCAAGGTCACACAGCTCAAAAGTAGATGCGCAGGGATTCAAACCCAGGCAGCCTGGATCCCTAATCCCGGATTTCAACCCTGACTTTAAATTGTCATAGTCCTGACATCCCCACCTCTCCCCCGTGCTGAGGGGCTGGGGACAGGTGGACCCCTGTATGGAACCCGCTGGGGCAGGCTGGGTGACCTGGACCGAGGGCTCGATGCTGGGGACTCAGGGATGACAAGCGCCCCGGCGGCTCCCGCATGTTGAGCGCGGGCGGCGTGCAGGCGCGGTGCCAGGCGCGCTCCACGCACCCTCTCATTTCACCCTGCCGGCGACGCCGTCCCCCCACTCTACGGAGGAGCAAAGGGGGGCTCGAGGGAGGAGGGGGCGCAGCCCAGGGGCGACAGCTGGAGAGGGAACGACAGCTGGAGGGATAACTCCAGTCGGCCTGACTGGGGGCGGGGTGTGGGGCGCGAGATCCAGTCATGCCCACGCCGCGCAGTCACTGCCGGCGGAGCCCAGCACCAAACGCTGCGGCCCGGCCTCAGTTTCCCTACCCTCGAACTGGGCACCAGCCGTCGCCCGCGCCTCGACCCCCCGGAGCCCTCCTGACCACGCTGGGGGCTGCCAGGACCCCCGCCGCTCCCAGAATTTTGAAAAATCCCGAAGTGTCCCGGTGAGCCCGGCAGCCGAGCCGGGGCGCGGACCCGTGGGCCGTGGCGGGGGGAAGCACTGGAGGGGGAGGGGGACACCGCTCCCCGCAAAGCGGCCTCCGCCCCCCGCCGCCGCCTTTGTCCCGATCTCGCCACGGCGCAGCGGACAAAGAGCCCCGCGGGCGCGGCCCCCCGGAACACACCCTCCCCCGAAGCCGCGCCCCGGCCCGCGCGGCCCCTCCCCCGCCGCAGAGACCCCGGCCCGCCGCACGGCCGCCCCGCGCGCCCCCACCCCGTCCGAGGCCGCCCTCGCCCTCCTGCGAGCCGGGCCCGGCCCGAGCGCACAGCCCGCGCATCCGCTCACCATGGCGCGGCCCGCAGCCCGGCCCGGTCGCCCCCGAGCAGCCCCGCGGGCCCGGCTCCGCCCGCCCGCCAGCCCGGTCCGGCCGCCGCGCACCGTCGGGACGCAGCTGCCCGCTCTGCGGCGGGCGGGGCGCCTTCGGCTCCACCCCTGCTGGGGGCGTGGCCCTCCCGGGGCGCGGCCAATAGGAGCCCGCGCTGGGACGGCGGGGCGGGGCGGGCCGGGGCGGAGTCACGTGCGCCCGGGGCGGGGGGCTGCGCGCAGCTGGCGGGGCAGGGGCGGGGGGCGACCTCGCGCTGGGCGCGCGCAGAGCGGGCGCGGGTGGGTGTGGGGCCAGCTGCAGGCGCCCTCCCTCCGCCAGCTTCCCCCCAACTCCGGCCGGCTGCCGTATTCCCGCCCGCTTAGGGAGGGGGAAACTGAGGCGCACATCACGGAAGAGCGTCACCCACTGCACAAAAGCGAGGAGTCGCGGGCGGAATCCCGGGCAGGGGCCGGAAAGAGGCACGACCACTAAGTTGAATGGCCTTGCTTGAGGCGGGGGCTGGACATTCGTTCGTTCGCCGATTCGGTCGTTTGTCATTCATACGATTATCCTTCAGTGCGATGTTGGAACACCGGCCACGTGCCTGCCACGCTGGTAGCCGCGGGAACAGCCACGAGCCAGACCAACGAGGTCCCTGCCCTGACAAAGCTCTTGTTCTGCTGCAGGCTGGGGCTTCGGGGAATTTGCAGCCCTTGGCCACTTATAATCATGGTTATTTTTAGCATAATAACCCTGTGGTTTGTCCCCTGCCGAGTGCCATGTCCTGTGCTAACAGCTCAACACATTTTTATCAAGACCACTCTGGAAGAAGCATCCCGTTTCACAGACGGGAAACCCAAGCTTCAGAGAGCTGAAGTACCACAGCTTGTTGGCGGTGGAGTTGGGATTTGAGGCCAGGCCTGTCTGCCTGGGAACACAGGTGCCAGTTAGTGCACCCCAAGAAGGCCATCTGACCAGAGGACACTCTTCCTGGGGCCCACAAGAGGTGTGAGGGTGGGTCCATCAATGCCTCTGTGGCCCAGGTGACTTGGGAAGATGGGAGGGGACAGGTTGAGCTGGGGGCTTGTAGCTGGAAACTTCTTTCCTAGCCTCAAGCAGAACCTTCTGGAAGAAGGTGAAGAGCCCAGCTCTTAAGGCCAAGGTGGCCAGGCTCTCTCACTCCCTCTACTCCAGCCTCGCACTGGGCTTGCTTTCTTGCATCGTCCAGGCTACACCGAGCTGTTTCCTACCTCCCAGCCTTTCCCTATGGCGTTTCCTCAAGCTGGAACATTCTTCCACTTCATCTTTCAGGTGGGGCCCTCCCAGAAGTAGTTCCCTGTGTTATTCTCTCTCCTGCCCATTGTGAAATTGTGCATTTTCAAGGGTGTGATTAACTGCTGGTCTGTCTCTCCCAGGACTAGGTCTGTTCCATTCGCTGATGCGCCTGCGGAACAGTGCCTGGCACACAGTAGGTGCTACATAAATGCATGTTAAATGATCCGATTGCAGAACTCCAGGGCTAGCCCAGCGATGCCCGACCCAGGAGGCCAGGCGCGGGTGAGCTGAGGCTGAGCAAGAATGGGGAACCCACAGGCAGGGGAAGCCCAGCTCCAGGCCAGCAGCCCTCAGGGCTCCTGCTGCATCCGCCACACCTGGAGCCCAGAGCGGGAGGAAACAGGTTCTTCTCCCCGAGCCAGTTCCAGTAGCCTCTGTGGTTCAGCCTCAAGTGGGCAAAGACTTCATTAGCTGCGCGGACCTGGGAGGGGCAGGCTTGGAACCCCAGAGCCAGGGCTGGCAACACCATGACAGGTGAAGGAGGGACACTTTGAGGCAAAAGATCCTGGTGGGAAATGGGGAGGGGATGCAGCATGGATAGAAGTTGACAGCCAGACTGCCCAGGTTCAAATCCAGCCTTTCCTGCTGCGTGGCTCTGGAAAAACAGCCTGACTTTTCTGTGCCTCCGTTTTCTCATCTGAAAAATGGGGATGACAGTAAAGTTGACCTCACAGGGTTGTTGTGAGCACATCAGGTGGTCATCCCGGAGGAAGCAATCCCACCTATTCACTAGTAACATTGTAAACAGGGCCGGACAGGTTTTGGGGGTGACTTTGGCCTTCCTCACTTGGATCTTGGGCAAGTTTCTGTGCCTGTCTGACCCTGGGCTCCCTGTCTTCACAACAGGCCTCATGGAGTCTGTCTCTGGGGATGCTAAGAGGCGGGGGGGCTGGCAGTAGCCCACCTGGGACCCACCATCATCTTGCCCAGAATGCTTCAATACAGGTAACAAGGACAGCAACAACCGCCTGCATGGCCATCCCCATGTTCCGAGCATTGCAGATGCCCATTCGGCAGATGAGGACACTGAGGCACCAAGAGCTGCAGGTGCAAAGAAATCACCTAAGGAGGGTGTTAAAATGCAGATTCTGACCCAGCAGGTCTGGGCTCACAATGCTGCATTTCTCACAAGCTCTCAGGTGGTGCTGGTGGTTCGGGGCCACGCGCTGAGCAGCAGCGAGGGCTAAGTCACTTGCTGGAAGTCACAAAGGGAGTGAGCACCAAGGCTGGATCCAAGCCCCCTGGGTAGGTGACAGGAGTCCTGGGCTTAACTGGGGCCCTCAGTACCTACCCCGGCTTTCTCTCCCCAACAAAGAAGAGGCAGGAAGTATAATCCCCTCCCCCAAGCCCATTTCCTGTTTCTGGGCCCCTGTACCTCCCTCCGCGGTGACATCTGGCTCAGCGTCCCAGGGGTCCTCCCTGTCAGTGGGATGGAGGTTCTCAGATACTCATTAGCCAGGAAGATAATTGAGGGTGAGGGGTGAGCTCATCCAGCACCCTGGGGCTCATCGGGTCCCAGCTGGGCCTGCCTGGTGCCAGCCTGGCCCTGTTCCCACTGCCACAGGCACTGGAGGGGCTGGGACAAGGAAGGGGCCTGTGGGGGTGGAGAGGCCTCGGCCAGCCTCAGGGGACACCCCCTGCAGCTGGGGCCAGGCTCCTTCTCCGGGCATCCCCCTAAGGGTTACAGGCCTAAAAACAAAATGAAAACTGCTTGGCCAGAGGGGAGTTTCCCAAAGGGTGAGATGTGAACCACGGGTGAGTTCTGCAGGGTGAGGTTAGGTACAGCACAGAGAAGGTATCATCTAGCTCTGAAGCACACAGCAGTTCTCGTTCACGGGGAGAAAGCCTCTCTTGCTGCTAATGTGGCTTCATCATCTCGCTAAGGCTGGCTCTGTCCCCTTTATAACCAGGAGAAGGGACAGGCCTCAGGCTCGAATCTGGGGCAGTTGACACTCTCCTTGAGCTAGAATTTAACAATGTGTTGTTTTCCATGTGTTTATGTTTCAGTTACCTTCTGTTTGTGGCACAGGTGTTGCTTTTCCATTTCTAATAGTGACATGCCCGTCCTTTTTAAATCAATTTATTTAGGAAAGTAAGTAGGTTAACTTAAAGCCACATATAAGGAAGTAACTGTAGAGTGGGTACAGGCTCAAGTCCTCTGATGTGTGCTTGCTGGGTGCCCTGGGGGGACTCACTCATGCCCTTTGAAACTCAGTTTCCTCATCTGTAAAGCGTGGAAAATACCATCTCCTCTGTGGAGTTGTTGGGTCAAATAAGTTAATAACCCATGTAGAAGTTGGGCGTGGTGGCGGCACCTGTTGTCCCAGGTACTCAGGAGGCTGAAGTGGGAGGATCGCTTGAGATCAGGCATTCAAGGTTGCAGTGAGCTATGATTACGCCACTGTACCACTGTACCTCAAATTAGGCGGCTTAAAACATACCGTCTCAACGTTATGGAGGCTAGAAGTCTGAAATCAAGGTGGGTGGAGCCAGCAAGTTGTGTTTTAACAACTGCTCAAGTGTGAGACCCGCCGCTCACTCTCCCTCTCTCCTTTGCTCACTTTGATGACACAAGTTTCCTTGTTGTGAGCTGCTGTGTGGGAGAGGCCCACATGGCAAGGAACTGAGGGCGGCCTCCAGCCAACGGCCAGCGGGGAGCTGAAGCCCTTTAGTGCAACAACCTGCAGGGACCTGAATGCCACCAACACGGATCCTTCCCAGTCAAGCCTGCAGATGAGCCCACTGCCCCAGTGACACCTCCGTGACAGCCTCTGAGAGACCTGGGCCAGGGCAAGTCTCGCCTGGGTTCCTGACCCCCAGAAACTGTGAGATAATAAATATTTGTTGTGTTAAGCCCCTAAGTGTTGTAGTGATGTGTTACGTAGTAAATAGGTAACTAATATGGTGGATGTTATAGCGTCTGTGTTAAAAGAGAGTTGGGGGCTGGGCGCGGTGGCTCACGCCTGTAATCCTAGCACTCTGGGAGGCCGAGGAGGGAGGATCGCTTGAGCTCAGGAGTTCGAGACCAGCCTGAGCAAGAGCGAGACTCTGTCTCTACAAAAAATAGAAAAATTAGCCGGGCATGGTGGCACATGCCTGTAGTCCCAGCTACCCGGGAGACTGAGGCAGAAAGATCGCTTGAGCCCAGGAGTTTGAGGTTGCTGTGAGCTAGGATGACGCATGGCACTCTAGCCCGGGCTACAGAGTGAGACTCTGTCTCAAAAAAAAAAGAGAGTTGGGAAACATGGACCGATTTCCACATGGAGGCATGTTTAGATCCCGATTTGAGTATGTCAATTTTTTAAAGTTGATGTTTGGGAAGTGTGAATGCTGAGTGGCTACTGGATGATGTTCAAGGCGATCGTTCATTTTATTTGGTGCCATAATGGTATTGTGGTTACGTTTTGAAAAAGAGGCCTTGTCTTTTAGAAGGACACATGGAACTATTTACGACTGGCGTGATGCCCTGTTGGGGATTTGCTTCTAGATAATCAGAGTTGGGCGAGGGCTAGACAGGAAAGAAAGCGATTGGCCATGAATTGGTGAGCGTTGGGGAGAGCGTGGGGGGGGCTCTCTCTGCTCTTCTCTGTGCTTTTGTATGTGTTTGAAATTTTCCATAGGAAAAAGTTTTTTAAAGATCTGGAGTGAACCAACATGCCCATTTTACAGATGGGCAAAGCAAACCCAAGCAGCAGGTAAGGATCGAAAGGAGTGAGGGGCATTCAGTTGTGGACAGTGACGGGCTATCCCTGGGCCTGGCCCTATGCTTTGTTCACC